GGGATTCCGTTGGAAGTGGGGGCGGTCGCCGGCCTTGGTGAGGATTATGTTGCTCGGCGGCTGTCGGGGCTGCACCCTTCGGCGCCGATCCTGTTGGGTTTCGTTCTTGGAGATGTAGTCTTGTCGTCTGGGGTGCTTCCTTCGACGCCTATCCTGCTGTCGTTTGTTCTTGAAGGAGTAGTCTTGTTTGCTGCACTTTGCATGCACCCCCAACAAAAAAAAGGATATTGGTACAACATTATTATTAATGTAATTTTATATCGTTATTAGAATATATTATTATATTGCATATTATTATTATATTATTACGAGAATGTATTATTATTATTCTATAATAAATAGAATATATTATTATTATTTTGTGAGAAGTTATATTATTATACATTAGTATATTGGTGATAATAATTAATATATTAATAATATTATTTATAATAAAAATTAAAAATTAACTAATATTTTATAATATAACTTAATATTATTATATTATGATTATTTTAATAATTATCACTAATTTTTCATTTTATTACTAATAAATGTTATTATTGTATAACATATTAGTACAATATTATTATTTATTTTATAGTATATTAATATTCATTATGTATTACATTATATTTATCAAAAGTATATGACGTCTAATATATATAATATACTACGTACTGTTACTCTGTTATTATTTTATCATGATACATTTTATTTTTTATTATATAAAATATTATTACTATGTTAAATACATACAATTTAATATATTATTTTATTAATTTTTGTGAGGAGTTACTACTTTATTATTAAATATTCAATCGTATAACTTCTAGTAATAATTAATATATTATATTTAATTTATTAAAATACTAATAATATGATTTTTTTAATTTATATAATATAATAGTCATTCTGCTATGTAGTATAGTATTCATAATAGTTGTTATACTATGTAGTATAGTATAATTAATAAATTAATATATACTGTTTTTAATAAAAAAAATTAATTTTATAATTATATTATAATAACTAGAGCATTATATAATACATTGTCATCATGTTAAATATTTATATTTAATGTATTATTATTATATTATTATATAAGCTATCTCCCCCTCAAACTCAAAACAAATACACCAAACTCAACTTTTTTTTTGGCATTTTGAAATAAGCATGGTGTTTTAGGTTTTCATGTTGAAACCTAAGAAAAGCATCATGGTTTCTAAACACATGTTAATTTATTCTTGATAAAATCACCATAAAAAAACTAAAAAAAACCATGACATCCATACGCTCTCATCCCTCTTGAGGTTAACCTAACTGGCCGGTGACCAAAACGGTAATAGGAACGAAAAGGGCCAGAGGTTAAATTCCCAGGGTCGTTGGAGCTGCAGGCAACCGCAGTGTACTATCCTGCGCCTGATGCTCACGTGGTCCCCACGGGCCAGGGCAAAGAAGCTTCTGAGCCACATAGACTGAACTAAAACCGAAGTTCACTAGAACGTTGAACCCCCTACGTTTTCGACACGTGTATTATAAGAGAACTTATGGCCGTAGGCCAGGATGAGTATTTACCTCGCTCGAGAAGCCTGCGGCCGAATTTGTGACGGGTTTCTCCCTCCCGTTCCGTTATGCGATCAAAGCGCCGGGGTGAAATTCCTAACGGGATAAAGGAACCGTTAGGTCAGTGTATTTCAAATAATTAAAAACGAGACAATAAAAAAACCAAAATATTCATCCAATTTAAATGAAAGAAATAGAGTGTTTCTTAGAAAAGGTGATTGTTAAAAATACAGAACAGAGGTCAAAAAACCCTGAGAGAAGAAGGAAAACTCCAATACAGTACTACTGAAAAAGTAAATTAAACTACTGTCCGAAGATTTTAAATTAACGAAACAAATAAAAACATACGCTAATAAATTAGATAGCAAATTAGAGTATATATATTCAAAAGGGCAATGAAAAGATTGCTTCATTTATCAAATTCTTAAACAAATAGGCAAAGCATTAGAAGAAGTTGACAGAAAGAGGGAAGTTGACAGGAAGAGGAATATCCAGTTTCAGTAAAAAGAAAACAGAAAAAGGAGCAGGACAAAAAAAATTAAAAGATTTAAAAATAAAATAGCGTCGAAGAAACAGAGGACGTACCAGGAGAAGAAAAGAAGACGACGAAGAGGAGCAGGACAAGAAAGGACGTCGCAGCCATCAGCGGTAGCTTAACCCTTCCACGAAAAACTACCATCGCTGACAAAACGAAGCACAGCGATCTCTCAGCCTGCAACCAAAACGAAGCACAGCGATCATGCACCGCATAAAAACTACAAATTAAACTCGACCTAGCCAGCTAGGGTTTAGTTGACTCGGATCCCTCATCGATCCTCGCGCGATCTCACTCACCTTTGCACGGGGAAAAGGCGCCGAACGAACTCCCGCGGCTTTGAGATTCGTGCCTCCCGCGAGATTAGGTCTTCAAAAAAATTCTCTCGTTTTTTCTCTGCGAGATGAGATGGAGGATTCTTCTTATATATAGAGCGTGGGCGTTTCGTAATTATTGCCGTCGTTTTGGGCTTTTGGGTAATCATGAAGATGACGATTGATACGGAAATTAAGTAATTAAGTAATCGGGGAGTTGCCTTAACGGGGGAGACACGTGCCCTGTTCCTAGCCGTCGTCGATTTGTTACGCACGTGACGCATCCATAATTATTAAGAAATTAAGTAATCGGGGGAAACTAACAATTAACGCTTTTGGTATCATTAAGAAATTCGGAGATTGAATTTTGATTACCTTTATTATAGGAATTAATTGTTAGTTGTGGGATTGATTTAGTAAGGATACCTCGAATAGACACAAACCAGCTCATAATAGGTACGTATGTATTTGATTAATCAATATATATGTTGCCATAATTAGAATTAAAACAAATTCTAGAACAATCACCTCGTTTTCCAATCTATTAGAGAAGATTCTTTACTAATTAAATACCCACATAAATTTCGTTTATATATACTAGTATCGTGTACGTGCGTTGCACGTAGGCACACTCATTGATTAATTTTTTGGAATTCTTTTGGTTCTATTAGGTTAGAAAGTGAATAGTTATTAAGATATTATAGAAATTAATAAAGAATTAATATTTATTGAATGAAATGAGACTAATTAAGTAATTGGGGAAAACTAAAAAGTTAATGATTTTGGTATTATTAAGAAATTCGGAGATTGAAATTTGATTACCTTTATTATAGCAATTAATTGTTAGTTGTGGGATTGATTTAGTAAGGATACCTCGAATAGACACAAACCAACTCATAATAGGTACGTATGTATTTGATTAATCAATATGTTGCCATAATTAGAATTAAAACAAATTCTAGAACAATCACCTCATTTTCCAATCTATTAGAGAAGATTCTTTACTCTTAAATACCCACATAAATTTCGTTTGATTAATCAATATGTTGCCATAATTAGAATTAAAACAAATTCTAGAACAATTAGCTCATATTCCAATCTATTAGAGAAGATTCTTTACTCTTAAATACCCACATAAATTTCGTTTGATTAATCAATATGTTGCCATAATTAGAATTAAAACAAATTCTAGAACAATTAGCTCATATTCCAATCTATTAGAGAAGATTCTTTACTCTTAAATACCCACATAAATTTCGTTTGATTAATCAATATGTTGCCATAATTAGAATTAAAACAAATAAAACAAATTCTAGAACAATTAGCTCATATTCCAATCTATTAGAGAAGATTCTTTACTCTTAAATACCCACATAAATTTCGTTTGATTAATCAATATGTTGCCATAATTAGAATTAAAACAAATTCTAGAACAATTATATATAATACGCGTTATGAGACTTGAAGGATCCAACTCAAACCATCTTGCTAATTCGTAATAGTTCTTTTTCTAATTATTTGCAGAGAAGAGTAGTTTAGTGCCCGTGATGATAGGTTTCAGACACCATGATGACAAATGTTGGAAATTATGATTAAATCTGGAATTGAACAGTAAATAATGATGTGTTGTTATTTTAAAATTTTTAATTAACTGATGTGCGTTTGTGAAACGTTGTGCTTAAAGCAATATTTGGCCTACTCTGGTGTAAGGATCCCAAGGCCAAACTGCTTCCAGGAACAGTAGTACAGTACTCTGGTGTGCACCAACCCAGTACTGTCAAGATCTCCTCGATCTATAAGACCTTTCGGTCAAGGCAAAAGATGTCCTTGATCTCAGAACCTTTCGGTTCAAAACCTTTCGGTTTTAGGCAAGTTCCTGTGGGCACAAGTTCCTGCAGCAGCAGCACAACATCAACAACGTCGAGATCGACGTTCGTATTCCAAGATCGCGTGGGTATTCTGACGTTCGTATTCTATACTGACGTTCGTATTCCACGTTCGCGAGAGAATTTCCAGCTGCGACCAAGAGCTGCCCAAAGGCGCTATTTATAGGCCTCTAAGGTCAGCTCAAGAGTCACTAGCAATTAATGTGACTGTTACAATTCTTAATGACAATTAAGATTGTAACATCAATGCATTAAATTACTCTAAATGCTGTTGTAACTGCTGCATGCAGTAACTGCTGAATACGAGGCAATCAATGGACGTGTTGCTACGAAACACGAGGGTCACATCTCAGCAAATCAGACACTTGTATGACATGTGAGCCCCCATACAAGTCAAATTGGTGTGGAGCTCACATGTCATACACTTGTAGCGTAGGAAATTTCCTACGCTGCCAGCTCACCTCCCGTTCTCTCATATATATACAAAACGGAA